ATGTTCGAGTAATTTGTTGCTTATATTAACTTACATAGGTTATGTACCTACAACATTAATATTATCTTGGTTATGCACTATGAATTTTGATTTAATTTATAGTTAGAGATGTCGTCTACTGAACATGAAACACCAATATCATAGACATTATATATTTGTTTGATCCTTTGTTTAATTAAATTATAGATTTGCATATACTTACCGCATCATGCAGTTGAATCAGTGACCCAGTATCTCGACCGGGTCAATGACCGGACCGGGTTTAATAACATTGGTAACAGGTGACTACTTGCATAGTGTTTTAAAAAATTTAAATAAATAACATAGAGAAAAATATTTGTCCTTTTGAAGGATAGTCATTTTAGTTAAAATTATTATTATTTATTTAAATTTAAATAAAAAAATCTCTCATCTTCTCCTATCATAATTTTTATTGTGTAACTGTTTCTCTCAATATAAAACACATTAGTTTTAACAGATTAAAATAACACAATTTTATATTTTTTAAAAGTACAAACATTAATCTCAAAAATATATGACAACGGTAAATCTAAAAATTTAACTTTGATATTTGACCTGTCCAAATTCTATCTCGAAAGTAAAATATTGTGATTATTGGATTTTTCAAATATAAATAAATCAAATCAAACAAATTAAGATGTGGATGGTTATATAATTGTTTGGTTTTTAATATTTTATTTAAATAAAAACAAAATAAAATCCTAAATAGTATTTAAAAAGGCTTTAATGTTTCTAAAGTGAATGTAGATAAGTTATCTACATTTGTTGCTAAAACGACGTCGTTTTGAGTTGAAAAATTAAAAAAATATAATGAAAAAGACTATTATAATCCTGAAATGAATTATAATTACAAAAATTCCTTGATTTCCGCCTCATAACGACGTCGTTTTGGACTAAATGTAGATAAGTTATCTAGATTGACCGTAGAAAAGCTGAACTCATTTAAAAATGTCAAAAAATGGAATTGGACGTTTTTTTTTCTTTATTTTCTTTTACCAGTTACTTATAGATTCGATTTCCTTTCCTTGTTGCAGCCAATTCTCTTCTCATTGACTCCCCCATCAGCATCAATTTTCTGGTCCAATAAACAAGTCATTACTGAGATTAAGAGGAATCAAATTACAACATAGGGAATTTTCTGGTCCACTTCATAAATGAAAATGTGATACAGTAAGGCCAGAGTGTAAATCTCCATGGAGAAAACGAAGACGGGAAAAGCTATATTGAACGTAACAGACTATGGGTGAGGACTCTTCATCTTTTTCTTTTCACAGTTCACATGATACTTTTCTGTATTCAATCTGTTTTACCTCATACTTTTGCCTTATTAAGTTGATTATGTTTACACTATACATGCCATGCGAACACATTCTTCTATCTGAAAAGGGAACATATTAAGCAGGGTCATTTGGGTTCAGTGACAAGGTGTAGGTTTGGTGTGCTCAGGGATATGTCATTTTGCACTGTGCATCTTCATTTTTGCTTCAAGCTGATATTTGGATAACTCATTTAAAATGAATTTGGATTTGGTTTCCGACATTCTGAACAAAAACATTTTATAAACCTGCTAAAACTTATTCTTTCAAAAATATTTTTTATAATTTATTTAAAATATATTCAATGCAAAAAATAAGAGGGTGAGCCTCAACCGTTCAAAAAAAATGTTTTTTTATTACTGAAAGGTGATTGCATCATCCCACCGTGGGGATTTAATAGAGAGTGGATATATATTTTATGCAAAAAATAATAATTGAACTTAACGAGCGTAACTCAGTTGGTAACACAGACTAAGTAGGTGAGTAGAGAACCTGAGTTCGATTCTATCAAATACATATTTTAAGAGAAAATAAGAACTTTAATTGTAACTAAGTCTCGACACGAAGTCGACTTAAAGTTTTGAAAATATGGTGTATGACTCGCCTATAAAGTTGTAATTAGGGGTGTGCATGGATTAGGTCGGGTCAGTTTTTTGTGTCGACCCGACCCAATTTGATTTTTGAATAAATACTTTTTTTGGTCCCTAACAAAAAACACGGTCCTCACTTTAGTCCCTTACAAAAATAAATTATTCAGTTAGTCCCTAACAAATTCAAAGTTGACCCCGGTCACAAATTATATTAGTCCCTCAAAAGGACTAAAATGGGTCCACTTTGAATTTGTTAGGGACTAACTGACTAATTTATTTTTGTAAGGGACTAAAGTGGGGACCGTGTTTTTGTTAGGGACCCAAAAGGGTATTTACTCTTGATTTTTATAGGTCAGGTATTTTGACCCAACCCGGTTTAATTTGATCCAAGTTAGGTCTGACCTAATTTGAAATTTTTTGAACTAGTTCAGAACCGGGTCGGATCTTACCTGACTTAGTTTCTGAAGTGGGTCTGTCTTGATTTCAAAATCGAGTCAAATCCGACTTGACCCGTTTTTGACTTGATTTCAAAACATGTTTTTAATTTAATTTTTTTGTATATTTATTGATTTAATTTTTAAACTCATATAATTTAATTATTCATTTGTTTTAAAATATATAAATTATATAACAAATTTGATATTTATTTAATAAATAAAGGAATTTAATTTTTTTAACAAAAAAAGTTATTTAATTTTAAAATCCAAATGCAACAAGTTGCATCAGTTGCATCGGAGAGAAGATGAACAACAAAATTCAAGAGGAAAAAAAAAGCTACGATGTAAAAATCATTAAAATAAAATAAAAAATGAAGAAATAAAGAGAAAGAAAATCTACTGATTGTTACGAAAATGAAGGAGGCGATGTTGGGAGGATCATAGAGTTAGATCTAAAGCCAATAACAAAGACCATTATAGCAAAACATGGCAGCAGTAACGTATTCAGGCATATCATCTCATATGAGTTTAAATCAATCAATCAGCTCGTGATTGAGCACAAGAAAAGTCGAGAAGCATACATTGAACTGCTATTATAATTGCGGTGGTTGATCCTCTTCGGTGCAGTGGAAAAATGTCTACAGAGAGAAGTGATAACCCTAAAAGCGAAAATTGCAGTTGTGATTTTTTGTTCTTTTTTTTCACATAATGGTATGAGTAAGTTTTGGGTCAATGAGTCAATTATTAAAATAAGTCAGGTTTAAAACTGACCCAAATAAAAGTGAATCAGTATTTAAAACTAGTTCAAAAAAATAGGTATTTATGAGTCAGGTCAAGATTAGATCAAGGCAGGGCAAATGAATCAGTTTTTTTGCACACTTGTAATTAGTAGTCACATAAATGTTCCATATTAGAAAAATTATTTCGCGGTAGATATTAGATAGTGCTTTCAAAATACCATCTAAAAGAAGGGTTTCATCCCAGAGTCTGATATTAGGGTATGTTTGGTACATAGTATAGGATAAGGCCTGATAGTATAAAACTTGATTAAATTTTAATACTATCCTGTGTTTGGTATGATATTGTATAAGATAATATCCTCCAATATTTTAAAAATTAATATATTAAAAAAATTATTTTAATATATTAATATTGAAATGATATATTAGTTCTTGAGAATTGTACTTTTAAGCAACATTAATACATCAACTCCTTATCAGGCCTAATCCTACCCTTTATGCTTGATTAAGTTATACATCATTTTGATGTATAAAGGGATCCTGCTGTATAAGCTTATACTATACGATAGTCATACCAAACAACTGAAAATGTCATAACGTATAGTATAAGCTTATACTATTAGGTCTTATACGTAACACCAAACATACCCTTAATGACTAAATGAATACATTATATCAAAATTGATATTACTTTTCATCAACAGCAACCGACAAAACCGTAAGCGTCATTCATTGTTTGAGGTAATCCATGGAAGCAGATATTATCTCATTGGATTATGTGGTATTCTCCTTCAATTATTTGTTTAAACTATGAGTTTTCATTTTATCTTTTAACATAACACAACAAACTTTTTTACTCTCACAACATTTTGTGGGGCTCACACTTTTTAAAACAAAAAAATAAATAAAAAATTAAGGCACGCAAAACGAATCTCTATAACATTACATAATCACTTTTCCTACAACATAACTCTTATAAAAGTCTTAAAGTATACACTTTATTATCAAATTTCATCAGAGTGGAAGATACAAAGGAAATAAACCACTCTGTGTGCTGTCATCCATTACATCGGGTACATGACATTCCCCTTCCCCACACAAAATGACATGCGACAAATTAAAAGATTGAACAACTACAGTAATTTTCGCTGTTGCTGCGCTTAATTTTTGTTTGTATAATGAAAGGAGAGCTTAACTACTAAAACTAAAGATATTTTTCTTAAAGGTAAGCATGATCTATGATTACTTAATCAACTCTAGTTGTGATAAGATATTTCCAATTCAATTATAGAAAAGGTAGTCCGCAAGTAATTGATATTTTAATAAGCATGTTGTTGTCGCTATCTGTAAGATAAGATAAGCTGCTTAAAGCTTAAATGCCTAATCCAATGAAAGAATCGTAATTACTCGTGTCAATTATGCTGAAACCGATAGGCATTGACAAAATGAGTAGTAACATGAGCGCGCGTAAGCAAAAGGAATTAACTATGGCAACTTACTGTTTAAGGTAAAAACCATGCTTTCCTCTAAATCGCATAGCCGTTTGGGGAACAGATATAAGACCTTTTCCGAGCCGAAGGAATCCAGAGATGATTTTGCTCGAGAAAGTCACCTCACAATTGGTTGGTGATTATTAGCCAAGACTTATTTCTCTGGGTCTAACTAAAAATAGTTATTTCAACACATTACAGAAACAGTTTCACAAGAATCAAGAAAGTAGTTCCGAGAGTTCGGACAAAATTAACCTTGAAACGATGGATTTGGCTAATGAAAAACGATGAAAGCATTAGTAATCGAAAACTACAAAGAAAGTAAAGCTGGGTTTGGGGTTACGATGCGATTTAGCTGGTTTATAAAAATCCAGAGCAACATGAACATGACACTAACAGAGGCGAAGAAAATTAGTACTGCATTAACAAAAATTTACAACTCTATACCCTTTATATCATATATGTCACCGAAATACTAAGAAGAGTTGATTTTACATGGTAGGACAAAAAGAAGGAACAAGAAAAGAAAAAGAAAAAGACACACAAAGGTTTCCCCTTCAGTCTCTCGTCTCGTCGTCTTCAAGGGTTGGACCTTTCAGTTAGACACATCAAGTCAAACTAACAAGACCATTTATTGTTATCGTGTAACCTTCACATCCAATGCCAGTTAGAAATATAACACAAACGGCATCCTCAAACCCTCTAAATTGCTAGCTATTAAAAAGCAGCGATCAGTTCCGCAGCCGATTCCTCCGCTTTCCCCATTATTCCTCCACCGTTAACTTCCTCTTCCTCCTCCTCCTCCGCGTCCCACATAAAGTGTGCATAGGATCCCAGCACCGTGCTGCATATAATAAATAAATAAATTAATTAATAATTATTATTATATTTCCCTGTTTGGTTCTTGAGAAATTGTGAGATAGATAGATATATACCAATCATCAGGAGCAGCATGAATTGCCTGATCAAAGTAAGATTTGGCTCTTTCTTCATCTCTCTCTGTTTCCCATATCAGCTTACCGTACAGAGAAAGCAGATCGCCATCTCCAGGGTTCGCTAGAATCGCTCTTCCGTAATATTCCTCTGCTCTCACCGTGTCTTTCTCCACCTGCATCCATTGAAATTCAAATCACTGATTCTTTTTATTTTATTTTATATTTTGAAAGATTCATTCAATGATTGTCGAACAATTTGACGCACCTCGTGAAGAAATTTCCCGTAGTTTCTCAGCAGAAGCGCATCCGTTGGGTTCGACTTCAACATCTCCTCATAGTACGCGCCGATTTTAATTCGCTCACCACCGTTCCAGCCGGTGACCGTCGCCGTCCCGTGATCACCGCCGTCGCCTGCTCCGCAGCCGAATCCGAGTTCCTCCACCGGAATCCCGCTCTCCGTAAAAGAGCGCGCTCCGGTTCGATTCAGATTCCGGCGAACGCCGAAATTCTCGCTCGCGGACCGTATCGCTGCGGCTTCCGATAACGCTCTGTTGATCCCGTTCGCCGGCGTGTCCTTGCGGCCGTTGGAGTGGAAATGCAGCGAAAGCCTGGGCGATTGAACGTGGTTCTTGTTGCCGGCGAGGGAGGGTTGGCGCGAGAGAGAGACTCGCGGTGAACCGGGAAGGACGGGTTTCTGGACCGGGACGGAACCGGTTCTGATGAGAGAAGCTCTCATTTTCATACCTTTTATCACTGAGAAGTTTGAGTGCGTAAAGACCGAAGACCGATCACTTCTTAAAAGAGTTCAAAGGACCCTTTTATTTATGGGGTGGCGCTGAGTATGCGCATGTAAATTATAGATGGATCTGGACCGTCAGATGCGCTGAAAGAGTTGACCTATGAGGGTGCTAGATTAACGACACGTATTGGGAATGCACGTGGACCAGGAAGTGTAGAGCAATGCTATTCATCACTAATATTTCTTTTACATTAGTATAAGAAAATAAATAAATTATGAATGTATTAAGAGTGCTTTTTTTGTATAAAGTATTCATATGAAGAAAACATGTTTTAATTTGTTATATCATATTTTTCAAGAAATAATGAAGAAAACATAATGCTCTGTCATTCTAAAATATCAATAGTTTAATTTTTTTTTTGTTATTTTGAAAAAATAAGATGCATAAATTATTATTTTTAAAATTTTTCTTTATCTTTTAATACCTAAATTAAGTACAATAAAACATAACATGAATAAAACGATAGAATTTAATAATTTTCTTAAATTTTATTAAAAAATATTGATATTTTGAAATTGATGTAGTAATTAATGATAGGGTTAAAATACACATTATAATTTACAACAAAAAAAAAAAAATACACATTATAGTCTATAGAGACTTCTAAGGCTTCAGGCACAAGAGACTTTTCTGTGAGGGGGAGGCGCTACAAAATGAACTCACGGGAGGTGCATGAACGATGATTAAGTGCATGTACGACGATTGAGTGTTGAAATTACGCCACATGGATAGAGAATCGCGTGGGGCTTTAGCCCCGTTTATGTAACAAAGAGAGAGAGAGAGAGAGAGAGAGAGAGAGAGAGTCGCGTGATCAAGTGATACTAGCACATTACGATTCGCAAAATGCATGCTACAAGCTTTATTCACTTTTTGAGTCGTGCGAATAGGGGCAGGCAGCGTAGAATTGTCGGTGTAATTTTAACATAAAACAATTTTTTTTTGTTTATATATGTGTTTGTGCATTGTTTTTTCAAATGTTTAATCGCAGATATGAAGTATTGATTTCTTCTCCCTGATTCTAACCAGGGGGGTTTCAGACATTATAATAGCAGTCACTCCACAATATTTTCCTTTAAACTTAAAAAAACAACATAAAATTACGCGTAAATGCACTTTGCTACCACATCATATTTGAGAATAGAATGCATATAATAAATAGATAATATACACAAAAAATAATTTTTAATAGATGCAAAAAAGTTTTTGATATATGTCATTTCTCTCTATATATATACATATAATCAACAGAGTAATCATTAAAAATATTCTAGTCCTTCTCTTAAATAATTTGTATGGATGAAATGCATAGTGCACATACTTGTAATAGAAAAAAGAATGATAGAAAAGTGCGAGATTCATCGTGTGACTGATGTATTTTTTTTAGGAAAGATATTTTGTTTTCTTTATTATTAATATTTATTTTAAATAAGTGTCACAGACAGGAACCGCACGCAGTAAGGGTATGGTCCCCGTGCTTTCCTACGTTCTCAAATGGTTTTCTAGCGAAAATGGTTTTGTGGGGGAACACAGACAAATTGATTTGAAAAAGTCAATTTTGAAAGGAGGCTGGGACGTTGCTTTTCGCACAGTAAACCACCGGCATAAAAGATTCATCCCCTTTTCTTACACTTTGCCTTTGCCACTTTTCTTTATGAGCCAAGATAACATAACATGACTATAATATAAATAATTCCACTCATTTTTTATTTGAATTCTTACCAGCTTAGAGAGAGAAAAAATTATCCTATTTCAATAAGCCTCAATGAAAATTTATAATAACACTTATAAATAAAATTCGAAGGTGCTTATTAATTACCTACATATAGGGACCTTTTTTTTCCCCTTTTTCAATGATCAAGATACAGAGACCCATTTTGCCATGGTCATGCAGTGCAGTGCACAAGTTTACTTTGGAAAGTGCACCCTAGCCCACGTGAGATCTCTCCATTTGAGCAACACGTGTACCCCTGGCCCATGTGATCTCACGTGATAGCATTCTATTAGGAGTAGACCCATCAAGTGCCACTCGAATATAAGGGGAACAGTTACCATTGTATCACTGTTCATTAACTTTTTTACCTAAATGTCATGCGAACAGTATTATTTTTTTAATCTGCTACGGCGCAAGTTCGCTTCTGACACAAGCGACCTCGGTTTGCTGATGAGCTTCCTAGTGATGTCAAAATTCGCTTCTGACACAGACGACCTTGGTTCCAACAATATTTTAACCAAGTTCGCCTACATGGTAGGCGAACTTCATTTTTTTTGAATTTTTTTTTTAAATTTAATAGTTGTTATCCACTAAAAATGTGATACGTAAGCAAACTGAGGTCGCTTGTGTCAGAAGCGAACTTGCCCCAGTGACAGATTGGGAAATAACACTGTTCGCGTGGCATTTAGGTAAAAAAGTTGGTGAATAGTAACATTTTTGTCAATATCCAATAAGACACCCTCCGCCTCAAAAAAAAAAAAACTTTGGTGCACAGTGCTCTTTTTTTTAGAATTTTTTTAAGATTAAAAAAAAATATAAAAAAAATATAGATAAAAAAAGAAAGTTTATTTTCTTTTTTGTGAAAAAAAAAAAGATGCTCCAGAATTTTTCTCCTCCGCCCCGTTAGGTTTTCATGCGCCAAGTTAACTCCAATCCATGACCCTTTAATCACTAGATTGTTATGACGGTGACCTACTGACCTTATTTTAAAAAAATGTAAAGGGTAACTACATTTGGCCTTACGATTTATTGTTTTATAAAATTATTTTTCTAAACTTTTTTTTTGTTACTGAACTTTTCGAATAAAGGGTTCAAATAAATATATTAAATTTCGATAAATAGCTTATAAATCACGTGACAAAGAATAACTTAAAATCGTGGCTAACTAGATGTTATGTTTAAAACTTCATGTGCATTAATGTTTGTGATTGTGACCAAGTTCGAACTTGTTTAAAATCTCTTTTGAAAAATAATTTTTTGATTTTCAGAACAAAAATATATGTTTGACAATGCTTATTTTGTAAACAAAATTTAAAATATAATTATTATTTTTTTAGAATCAAATTTAGAGAATATATCTTGAGTTATTTTTATTTTGTGTTTTGATTTATTAACTTTCAAAACAAAAAATATATATAAAAATACTTATTTTATTAACTATTCTATAAAACAGTTTTAAAAATAAAAAACTAAATTACAATCCAACAGACACAGAGACCCTCACTTCTTTTATTACATATTCTTTTGTTTCGTCTCTATGAAAGAGATAATCAAATACTGGTGATAATCATTATTAAAAAAATTATATTTATCTAAGAAATTTTAAATTTGAAATGAACAGGATGTCACACATTCTTAAATTAATAAATAATGGAAGCATCGCCCACAAGGTTTTTATAGGCATTTTAATTAATGACGGTTGATTTATGAATAATTTTTCACACGATATATAAGAGTATCATTTTCGTTAGTGTATATTTTTTTATTTTTTTTAAAAGGGAGGGGGAACCGTTTTATGGCAATGTACTCCCTACGCATGTAGTTATTGTTGGAGGATATTTTCCTCCTTAATTCAACATGTGCAGCCGCAATTTTTAAACTGTATAGCTACAACAATTGTTGGAGCCGAAATGTCAAGCAACTAACTTATTAGGCATCCTAACGTATTAGGCAGCAACAAATTCATATATCAACCAAGTCGCAAATCTGGTGGATATTTGCACCGTTTCACAATTTGATTGGAAATTCATTTGTATTGCATCATTCCAAAACGGAAAAAGAATTGTGAGGGACAGAATTTCTCGTACTAGAGAGTTCCATCATATATGTGAGAAAAAAATTCTCCAAGTGAAAAATAAAAGTTGTTGTAAATCATTCTTAGTGGGTAAAATATTTGTGAGCAAATCTCTTTGAATGTTGGGTTCGAACCGAACACTTGAGGATTGAAGATAAACTCTTCAAACCAACAAGCCAATCGGCGTGAGCAAATCTCTAGTCTTGTACTAGAGAGATCATGTTTGTAATCCCTACTTTTATAATGGAAGCTTTATTGGACCTAGCGATCTCGTGATTTTTACTCCTCGCATTGAGGAAAATTTTCACGTTAAAATTGCTTTGTGTTCTTTGTGCGTTTTTCTTTTACTTCTTCATTTTCCCATCTTGCTACAGATTTTCTTCGCTTCCGCAAATAGAAGTTGTTACTAACGTAACAGTAGTATTAGTGCTCTTAGATTAAGGACTCTGTGAGGTCAGAGATGGAGGGGCCATAGCATATGATAGTGATATGTTCAAACTCACCGCAAAGAACTACTCATACTGAAAACCCGTGATGGAGGATCATCTTTATTGCAAAGATTTATATGAGCTCATTCTGTGCACACACAAGACAGAATGGATGAGCGATAAAGAGTGGGATCTCCTTAACCGGAATGTGGTTGCTATGATCCACAATTATATTTGACAAGAGCTTGTTTGAGTATGTATCAACCTACACCAACGCTATAAGCTATGGAAGAAGCTGGAATCTCTGATTTAGAAGAAGATGTCGCGCAACAAAGCATCCCTGGTGCACCGACTTGTGAAGTTGGTCTATAGGGACAGACAAAGCATGATCGAGCACTTAAACACATACAAAGGGCTTGTAAGTTAATTAATGAAGATTGACATGAAGATTGATGATGAGTTGCAAGCACTTTTGCTACGCAGCTCATTGCTTGAGAGCTGGGATACTTTGATGGGGATGATCAGCAACTCAATTCCAAAAGAAAAGTTGACCATGGACTCAGGTGTAGACAACTTGTTAAATGAAGAGGCTAGAAGGAAAGAACGAGGGATGACTAGCCAGTACGAGGGCAGTGTCTTTGAGAACCATGGGATGTCGGAGAATCGAGGAAGGAGTAAAAGTCAAGGTCGAGACAAGTCTCGAGGACGGTCAAAGATGAGATCCGACTTAACATGTTACTCTTGCGAGAAG